GCATCTTGTCCTCCACCCTGACTCCGCTTAGCTCCCATGGCCCATTACTGCTGTAGCGTCTTAGCAGTGCCCCAAACTCCTATGTCCCCCTCTCCTAGGGGCCCCGCTGGCCGACCCTGGAAGCACCTGCCTACATCTGAGCAGATGAGCCTCACCCAAGAAAGTCCCCAGCTGGCAAGCGACTGTGCTCCGAATTCATGGTTACCAGCCCGAGCTGGGTCCAGACTCCAGCAGGCCCACAGCGCGTCTTAGCTCCCTAAGAACTCCCTAAGAACTATGGCCAGCTTCCTCCTCTGATTGCTTCAAACCCCTGGACACACCCCAACCCTATACGATCTTGCCTCCTGCCTCCTGGGAGGGACATCCTCATTTCTCAACACCAAATCTGCCCCCATGATTTTTTTGGGTTTTCTCTCTCCAGTTACAGCAGAGCAGGAGAGCAGTGCGATCCCCCTCCATCCTAGGGAGGGGATGGGATCTGGAGCCAGAAGGAGATCAGGCCTCCCAATTATTCGCGGCTCTCTGCCTCCCCCAAACTGTGAGGTCAGCCTCCCTATAGTTCCCCCATGGGAGTCGAAGGGACAGAGGCAGGTCACCAGGACCTGGAAGGAGCACACAAGGGCTTGTGGGGGAAGCATGAGATCAGTTTCCCCAGCGGTTGTGAGGGTAAAAATAGCCCCTACTGTGAAAATAAGTCAGCAGTTAATAAATTCCATTTATTATTATTCTCTTAGTAAGTAACAAGTAACATACTTGTTCACCATCTATGGAGGTAGTCAAGGGCACCCAGAGAAGCCCGAGTCTGGGCTATTGTGGAGGAAATTCTGGCATCAGGTGAAACACAGGAGATGGTGGCCGAGGACCCCCACCCCCTGATCCTAAGCGTCAGTGAAATGGATCCCAGTGAAGCCCTGCGGTTCTTGGGGACAGCCTCTGCCCACTGAAACCTCCTTGGTAATCCTGATATTTACTGGTCTGAACCCTGGGCATCTGTCCCCAGTGACCTGGGGATAGGGGAATTGGGGGGACCCCAGGGGCTCAGCTAAGCCCTGCCCTGGGATTCATCGGGCAGTGGGGAAGCTCCTGGGAAGAAGAGGGGCTGAGGCCACCATCCCGTGGAGGGACGCAGGAGGGGTGCCGAGGCAGGCACCAGTGTCCCTCAGATGCTACCTGACAAAGGGGCATGCAGGCGGGGGTTTCTTGGTGGTCTTAGAGAGGGCCACAGACTCAGGACAAGCCCAGCGAACAAACCCTGCACCCCCTGTGCTGTGCCCATCTGTGTATCAGATCAATAAATACTGATCGAATGTCCACATATCCCAGACCCTGTCCCTGGGGAAGCTTGCTAGACTGAGGAGCTGGGGTGGGCAAGTTCAAGCCACTTCAAGGAGGCCTGGGCATGGTCAGGCCCTGAGGGCTGCTGGAACAGGACAGATGCACCGGTGCCCCCTCCCCAGGATTACCCCCATCTCCTGGGTCAGGGTCGCTGAGACGTCACCAACTCCCACTCCCACACGCACACACACACCCAGAGAGGGCCCCGAGACCATTTAGGCACCCGCAGCAGACAGCGGCCTTGACATCTGGCCCATTTCCTGCTAGCGGGACATCAGTGTCTTCTTAGTCAGAAGTTTCGTAAAAGAAAGTTGCTGCAAACTTTGGCCCAAAGCATCTCCCCCAAAATGCACAGCTGAGAAACTATGGCTCAGGGAAACTGACCCCCTTGTTTTAAAGTATCACTGTTCCAGGGGCACTACTGTGAAGCATCTGCCTTGGCTCGGGTCACGATCCCGGTGTCCTGGGATCAAGTCCCGCATTGGGCTCCTTGCTCAGTGGGGAGTCTGCTTCTCCCTCTTCCTCTGCCCTCCACCCTGCTTGTGTCCCCCCCCCTTTCTCTAATAAATAAATAAAATCTTTAAAATACCACTGTCCCAGAAAGTGTTTCTCAATGTCCAGCTCAGTCAGTGGCCTCTGTGAGCACCCACTGGTGGGCCAGGCCCCCTTGTCCACGGGTGTCTCTGTGTCCCAGTTAGGGCCCTGGCTCTGAGGGTAGTGTGTGCCACCTCGCCCCTGTGCCCAGGCAGGACTGACTGACAGACACAGCGTTTTTGACGAGCCGTGGAACCCCACCCCCTGCCCTGCCAGCTTGTGTCTAGAAAGATCAAGACTCGGGAACCCCTCATCTCGAGCTCCTCCTGTTCCTGAAACGCTGAATCCAGGGCAGGGATTGGGGTAGAAATGGCTTCCTGTTGAGGACAGTCACCCCGATTCTCCAGGACCAAGGGCTAGGAAGGCAGGGCTTTTGGTGTGGGATGCCTGTGCCCAGTGCTGAGTGACAGGTTGGATGGCAGCTTTTCCCATGTAGGGCTGAGGCAGGGGGCAGGGAGGGAAGAAGGTGCCTGGCTGCTGGCAGCAGAGAGACGCTGGTGGAGGCTGTGAAGGGAAGGGGCAGGGAGAGCAGGCAGCCACAGCACCCCCCCGACCCTGCCCCGTGGCCTATACCAGGCGCTCCAAGTGCTTTAGTTAAATGGGACGCTGGAGTTCCAAGAATGGGTTAAGCCTTAGCAAACAAAATGAGGGAGAGAGACCATCTTAATGACAGCTAGGGAGGGAAAAGTTAGGGACCTCCACAGGGACATCATTAAGGGAGCCTGTTATCCTATGGGAAACACAGTGTTGGCAAAATGAATTTCCAAACAGTTATTGGAAAAATAAAACTATTTCATGTTTATACCTCGAGGGGTTGAGACTCTTGGATCAGATCCATTATATTTAAATATTTACATGTACAAATATATGTTTGTATTTGCATAGATCTATCCTGAGAGGATATATGAAAAAAAAATGAACTAATTGTGTTTGGGTTGGGGGGACTGGGGATAGGGAGGGAGCAGGGGAAGGGCGTGAGACAGGAGAAGGAGGAGCTTTGACTTCTCAACCTATTCTATTGTTCCTTAAACATTTTTTTTTAGCCATGGGCATGTATCCTATTTTGAATTAACTGGGGCAAGAGTTTTGACAAATTTGCTAAGTGGAACTGAATGAAGTCTTCCTGCATGTGATCTCCAGCTGAAGCTGGGGTTGGAAAGGGCGTTTTTATGGGCCCCCCCCAGTGGTGGAGGGGGGCAGCTGGTGGCCTGAAGCCCGTGGGCTGTGCCAGCTTTATCACATCACTGCCCTACTCTAGGGCACCTCCTTGGGCCGCCGCTTGGTTATAGGATGGGAACAAGCCCATCTTCAGCCAGCTTCTTGTTTTTCCTCAACCACCCCAGGGACTGTGACAGAGGAGGGCGTACCAGGTAGAGCTCTCAGGCCCCTGCCTAGAAATAGGACCCCAAATTACAGAACTACAGCAGCCAGAGGGAACTCATAGACCGGCAGGTCTAAGGCCCACATTTCATGGGTAGGGAAACTGAGGCCCAGAGAGGGACAGTGACCTTCATAGCTTCAGAACTAGAACCCAGGTCCCAGCTCCTCAGGCCAGAACCCTTTACACCCAGCAAGGGGCAGGTGGCAAGAAGAGGCTCTTCTGCTCAGGCAGAAGGTGAGGGATTTAAATAGATACCCTTGTTTCCTGGGGGGACCCTAGAAGATCTGCCTGCTTGTGGGGGCTCCTTGTAGAAAATAACCATCCCCCACCTGACTCTGTCCACCCCTTCCCTGCACGGCTGCACCACCACAGGCTATACCTCCCTTCCCTTTCTACCCACATGCACCCCTGCAGACGAATGCAAATGCTCCAGGTATACGGGGTTTCCGGGGAATGACAACGGTCTGAGCAGTGGGTCTGTGGGCATGCGTGTGCGAGTGCACGCCAAGGATCCTGCCTGACCCACGGGGCAGTAAGCTCCCAGAGGACCTAGCCTACATGAGCTCCCTACCTGTTGTGGGACAGCCAGGCGACACCTGGCATACACCCCAGAGCCTCAGCTTCCTGAAAGTCAGAGCTCGTGGGGCCTTTAGGAATCTCATACCTCAGAGCAAGGGAAGGTTAAAAGGGAAGGTTAAAAAGGTCCATGGCCAAATACACTGGGGGCACACTGTATTAATATGAAGAGACCTGCTTCTTCTTGTGGGACTTCTCAGGGCCTTTCGTTTGCTGACCAATACTGTGAGCCTCCACTCATGAGACCAGAGGGTACTTCCATCCCAAACTTCAGAGATCCACCACGAAGCAGGCTCTGCAAAGCTGGAAAATGTTGGGACTAGACTCAGCTCATAGGGAGGCCTGACAACCAGCCATATGGTCCCTTTGTGCAACGCAGAAAAAAAAAAAAACACCCCTTCAAGATCCTTCCATCTGTGGGGAAATTAACACCAAGATATTGATTTTATTAGAACAGGACCTTTACTGCCATCTGCTGGAAACATAGTAAATACACAGATCTACAGTCTCTGGGGATGGCATCATTCTCCCCTTTAGATATTTAGAAATGATATTCTTGTCCAGTGTGTCACCTGCCCAACCATGCATAGCGGCCCTGGGTCCAAAGTCACGTGATCCCAGCCCACCTGTCAATCCCTTTCTGCATGCCCCCTCATGTTCCAGGTGAGTGTTCTAAACTGACTCTCAGCTTCCGCCCTTCTGCATTTCTTGTAGACAGAAAGAGATGCTGGGGGCCTCATGGCCGTCTATCACCACCTATCACCTAGCCCACAGCAGGCTCAAATGACTGACCCCTGAACATATTCTGTAAGTGCTTATGCACTGAGGGTGCCGACCGGGGAGCAGGGATTGAGATCCAGATCCGGAACAGGCTCTACCTTGCTATGTGACCACAGAGAAGTCCTCATCTCTCTCTAGGCCTGTGTTCCCTTCTGTAAAATGAAGTCATTGAGCTTGATTGCTTCTAGGAGCTCAGAGAGCTCTGACAGTGAGCCCCCGATCCCAAATCCACGGAATTTTGAGAAAAGCAGGAAGGTCATCCCAACTGCTAATAGAAAGACAGTCAAGAAGACAATAGAATACAACCGGATTTTTTTTTTATTAGACTAGGAAATATAATTTATTTTGTAAAAATTAATTTTGTTACAATAGGAATGCTAAACGTTATGTACAGGTTGAAGTTTACAGAATAAACAGCGGCGGGATCGGGCCATCCCCTCGGCCCTACGTCCCCGGGACACAGAAACATGGCCATGGCCCAGGCAGGGGGTCCAACCCTTTTGCCCCCCCACAGGGCTGCTCCCTGCACCCAAACCCTTGATCACCCTCCCTCAGAGGGCATACTAAGGGACCCGGCTCAGCTGCCTGGTTGCTGGGGAAAGGGGCCCAGAGGGTCCTGGGTTGTCCAGGAGACAGAGAGGTCCCCACACCCTCAGGAGGATCCCGGTCTCTGCGAGAGAAGGCAGAGGAGAGGCACGTAGAAGATACACCGACTGACCCTGTGGACTCAGAGAGGTCACACACGCGCACCCAGGCGGGGACACATTCCTGGGGGGGGGGCGCACACACACACACACGCATGCATGTGCAAGCACACCCCAGCAATGAGAGAGACACCAATACCCACTTGAGGCCCCTGCAAGCCCCTCGGGGGCTCTTGATCTGATGCTTGTGGTGCACCGGGGTCACGTGGGGCAACCGCTTAGGCCTGAATAAGAGGAGAAAGCCTGATCCTTCCCTAAGGCGGGTCGTGTGGGGATGTGGCCACAGCAGCCTCAGCAGAGGACTGATGGATGGAACCCGCAAACCCTTTCCAGGCGTTTCTTATAAAGCTGGACAGTTTGAGCCCTCCCAGGAGGCTCCAGCTGATTGGTTCTGTGCTCCAGGCCCTGGTACACAGTTTCTGGAAATCAGCTGAGAAATGGCATGTGAGGGGCTGGCCTTGGCCTCCTCCACCGAGAGCTCCCACCCTGGGTGCTGAGCAGGCAGGGCGGGGAGGAGGGGCATTGCAGACCTCGGCCAACCTCCACCCACTAGGGTTCCCACTAGAACCCTAGAGCGACCATGTGTCAGAACCCAAAGGGAGTCAGACGGCAGCTGCAGGTATGAAAAGAAGATGAGGCCCAAAGAGGGCAGTCCTATGACTGAGGTCACACAGCAGTTTAATGGCACAGCTGGAGCTTCAGTGCTGGTCTTTGGACTCCAGGCTGCCCAGGGGGAGCATTTTAGAGCCCTGTCCAGCGAAAACTCCTTGTGGCACTGGTCAGCCTGCTGTCAAGGCCTCATGTCACACAGGCCTGAACAACTCAGGCTAGGAGGCATCGGGGACACAGAGCCCACAAGGGATGGTCACCCTTGGCAGGGGAGGCTCGCTGGCTTCGGGGCAACACCACACAGGCACTAGGGTCAAGAGCTGTCGACATCCCGCCCCGAATGCAGGCCTGGCCCCTTCAGCAGCCCTGACAGATGAAATCCTCTCTCAAACCAAGCAGGCCTCTGTCTGCCCATGGCTCAGCTACCCCCCAAGGCGGTCCGTAGGTGCTGAAAACCCCCATAATGCCCAGAGCCCACGGCAGAGAAGAGTAGACTGGGGATACCCACTGGGGCTGGAGCTCTCAAACCTGCTTTCCTCCCAGGAGACCAGGACTTCAAAGGCCAGGATAAGCCCGGGCTGGTCCCAGCAGCTGCTCATGGACCTGCTCAGGCAAGCCCTGGGGTCGGGGCCCGCCCAGAGCGGTTGGGGCGGGGAGCTGGAACTAGCTTTGCCCTGGGGGCCGAGGAGGAGAGAGAGGCCCATGATGAGGCCTCTGTGCTAGTTGTAAGAGCCTGGTCCTAGCCCTTGTCAGCCAGTCACAAAGGGACCTAGATTGGATAGCCCCTTGGAGCACCCCGGTGCAGGCTGGCAAGGGACTGACAGCCTCCCCCCCAGTCTGGCAACTCTGCCCGTTCAAAGCTCGCTTCAAGACGCCCCAGACTGCAGAGGGAGGCTGAGAACCGGGCTGAGCAAAGTGCCGGCAGAGGTCAGAGCTGGAAAACAGCACTCCCCAGGGCATCCTCCCCTGGGGTGGGGGTGGTGCGTAGAGCACTGCTGGGCGCCCACCTCCATGCCTCCCGGCCTACGGGGCTGACAGCTGACAGGTTCTTCAAAGCCACACTGCGGGCCCGGAAGCTCAGGCTTCTGTGGCTACAAGCCCTCTGACCCATCCCTTCTGTTTTATAGATGAACTTCCTCAGCCAGCTGAGGCTGAGGAAGGACAATTTTTGGATTCCTGGGCATCAGCGGCATGCCAGTGTGCTCCCGCCCCCCCGAGTCTAGAGCCTGTTGGGTGGAGGGGTGACCTGGCTGGTCCCACCCCGGGGTGAAGGAGAGAAGTGTCCCTAGGAGACTCTACCTCCCGCTGCCCCATTTCTGGGCCCCACCCCTTCTCCAGGGGCCAATAGACAGGGACACTGGAAACACTGTCCCTGGCTCATAGCTGGCCCTGCCTGCCCACACTTTCCACCCCAGGCCCTCTTAATCCAGACTCCCCCAGAGCCCAGGGAGCCTGTGGGGCATCTGCCTGGGGAGGTGGGTGGGCAGGAGGACCCCCCCACCCGTAGCATCTGAATGCTATAGATTTAGCATCTGCTTAAGATTTTAGAGGGAAATACGGTACCATGGCAAAAACCCCATTTGACCCTGTACAACTGGGGAAACGGAGGCCTTGTAGGAGTTAGTCTAAGACGGAATCTTTAGCAGCAAGGTGTGCCCTGTTCTGTCTCTCTCTCCCTGAAAATCTCTCTCACACATGCACACACACGCACACACGCTCACTCTGGCCAGAACCACGAGCAAGCCCACACGCGTCCACACTCAAGAAAAGAGTTTTATATTTTTTGTGTGTGTGTTGTTTTTCATTTTCTTTTTCTTTTTTTTTTTTCTTAAAAAGGACTTATCCAAATATCTGGATAATAAATCATGTGCGTTTCCTAAGAAACTGGGTTTTTCTTTTCCCTTGTGGTTTTGGTGTTGCTCTTTTTCTTCTTGGAGCCTGACTAGCGGTCTGAAGTTTCTTTCTTCCTTTCCTTTTCCTTTTTGCTTTGGACAGGAGAAAGCAGTTCATGTGAATTGTACTTGACACTTCAAAGAGGAAAATGGTGTGAAAGAAGAGGGCTCAGGGGGGAGGGAGAAACCAGGAACCGAGGGAGAAACTGAAGGACGAAACGAAGACAAATGCGACCCAGAGCTCCCGGGGCGGCCGTGGCAGGTGGGGTGGAAGGAGTGGGGAAGGCCACCTCCTGGCCACCCCCCCAGCTGCCTCCAGAGGCTTCACGGTGGTTCCTGCACAGAGATCTGAGGGTAGAAGGGACAGCAGGGGGTGGAGAAGGAGCACTGGGGTCCTCAGGACAATGGAGTACATGGATTTGCTAAGGCTGGTCACGGTCTGGAGTTGGGCCAGGGGAGGAGGAGGGGACGACTCAGGCCGTGAGCCAGGGGGCAGCAGAGGCCTCACCAGCGCCTCTCAAGAGGCTGCCCCAGGTCTCCCTGTGCCCGCCTCCTGCCTGCCCTCCCAGCCCACAGCTCCGGAGCCGCTCAGCAGTCCCCATCAGTGGCCATGGCCACCAGCATCTCACTCTTGCCCATCTCCTCCAAGGCACTCGCCAGGCTGTTGAGGTCCCCGTCGTCCTGTTGCAGAGCTTCCCAGAGGTCCAGGATCACACCCGTGGGGCTCGCTTTGGTGGCAAAGTAGTTCAGGTACCTGGCGGAGGGAAGGAGAAGGCCATTGGGCTCCCCGGCACCTCCCCGAAGCTTGGAAATGGAGAGAGCACCGGGAGATGGGAAGACTCTGCCGTCCCACAGTCCTGGGTCTGACCCCTAACCCTTCTGCTGGGGGTCTGTGTGGCCCTGGGCAAGCCACTGTTCCTCTCTGAGCCTCAGTCTCCTCCTCTCTAAAATGGAAACTGTCCTGCTCATCATGTCTCACTCCTGTGAGTACTACCACTGAAAGACACTGGCCCCAGGAGAGTCTGTCCAGACTTAGCCTTCCATTCTTTGCTCGTCCCACACCCGTTCCCTGCTTGTCTTGTCCCCCACACTCTCCCGAGAGCAGGAACAAAGCCTGAGATGCTCTGCAAAGCCCATTTCCAGTAAGGTGTCTTGTACACGGCATCTGCTCAGTGCAGGTGTATTAAAGGGTCTCTCAGTAAGTATAATGTATTGCATTATTATATTAATAAGGACGATTGTTGCCATTGTATTTATCCAGAAGAGCTCTTTAAGTTCTCCAGAAGGGCTTTGACACCAAAATATACTCTGTCACTGGGCAAACATTTCCAGAACACCTGCTCTGTCCTGGGCAGGGGGGTGCAGATGGTGATCACACCTGGTGTCCTGGATTCTCACAGGCCAGCACCCAGAGCGGGTGCTCTTCAAGGCTTTAGCACACCTGAGCTGAGCTCCTGATCTACCATGGATGGAAGGCTCTGGAGCCTGGCCCACCTACGTCTTGGGGACAAGGGGAGGCTGCGCTGGGGGGACCTGGACCAACACCCACCGGTCCATGGAGAGTTTCTGTGCCAAGAGACGCCAGTCGTTGCCCCGTGAGTTGGGGGCGTCCAGGCTATTGCAGATCTTTTGGCGGATGGACAGTGGAATCTTGAAGGCGTATGGCCCCAGCTGGGTGGTGACAGTGCTGCCAGGGGCAGAGCAGAAGGTGTCCAGGGAGCCGGCAGGTGTCTGGAAGGGTGGGGGGGCAAGGTGAGAGGGGCAGAGTCCCCCCATCCCCATGCACACCACTGCCATCTGTCCCTCCAACCTTCCTGCCCGAAGACTGGGAGCTCACGGAGCTTCCGGTCACTCCCAACGCTCTGGGCAAGCTCCAGCTGCTCAGTTGAAGTCCCCCTCCCCTGGGAATTTCCAAGGGACACAGCTGCATGCCCAGCACCCAGCCCTCGGGACACACCATGCTCATGCAATGGGCCCGGGCTAACGCATCGCATCATGATTACAAAGCCATAAGGAGCCTCAGCCACGGTCTAATCCATCCAGAGCCACTTTTACACATGTGGAAATGAAGTCTAAAAAGGGGAAGGGACTTGCCCAGGGTCAAATGCCAAGTCAGGGGCAGAGCGGGGTCTCAGCCCGTAGCCAGTGCTCTTGACACTGAGCTGCAAGGAGGTTCTAGCACTATTGTCCCGGGTGGCCTGGGTTTTGTTAACCTCAGTCTGGATTCACAGTTGGGGAGGACCACAGGCCGGGGCCAAGTGCTGACTGGATCCGAGGTGGATGGTCTCTGTCCTCCCTAAGACCCGCTTTCTAATTTAGTGAGGTGTTTAGTGATTACCTCTAGTGAGGTAATCTGTGTTGCCAAGCACAGCACCGGCCGCTCGGTAGGTGGCAGCTCTGAGCAAAAGACTCCCAGGTCCCCTCTCAGTTTTGGGAGGTGAAGGAGACCAGTCTTTACAGGAGACAGCACTCCCCACCCAGCTGAGGGGGGGAACACGGGGATCTGAACGCTGCACCCCCGGCCCCACAGGGTGTCTGGCCTCTGGCCTCACCTCGGCCAGCGTGGTATGCAGCTGGAAGATCTGGCCTTCCCCTTCCACCTGCCGCACACAGATCTTGCAGCTGAGCTCAGTGGAGGCCAGGCTGTGCCTCTCCAGGGTGAAGGTGCAGTGCAGGGCCTTCTGGCTGCCGCTCCAGATGTGATAGAAGGGGATCTCCTGAGGGAGAGACGGCAGGGTCAAGGATGGGAGGCTAGTCTGCCCTGCCTGCAGGGAACGGGAGGCAGAGGCCAGTAACGAGGCCAGGGTCGGGGAGCACGGGGACTTTTCAGGGGCCGTGCAGGGCTCTCCCTCCAGATGGGGAAGAAGAGCTGGCCAAGGGCCCCTCAGCTGATAAAGGGAGCATATGAGGGAGAAGGCCCTGGTGTGGATGCGTGAGTCTGTGTGTGGGTACGTGTGCACCTGCGCACGTATGTGTGGGCTGGAAGCCTTGCCCACTTAATGGTGTTGCACAGATGGGTGCAGGCGTGGGGAGGGGACTATTTGAGATTCCTTTGCATGGTCTGCCAGACACAAGCACTCTTAGAGACAGTAGTGCGCGATGGGGTGGGCACCGAGGTGGGGCTGTGCCTCAGGATGACCGGGAGCGTGAAGTGGGGTGGGTGGGAGATAGAGACAGGGTTGGGGGAGACATGGGGGGGCACTGGTCTTCCCTGGGCAGCCCCTCACATGCTCCCCCTCCCCAGCTTCATTCCCTGCAGCCCTCTGGCCCAGCCCTCACCTGGTACTTGGCCAGCAGCTTGCTTCTCCAGTGGGCATGGGGGATGTCATGCAGAGACAGGCGCAGGTTGTGGTAACTGTCTTTAAACAGCAGGGGTTTGGGCTCCTCCACCAGATAGCCACCCAGCGTCCGCTCCAGCTCCAGCACCTCCTGTGGGCCGACAGGCAAGGGGAAGGGGGAGCCCATCACCCTTGGCCAATGGGTTCTTCCTGCTGCAAGCTGGGGGTCTGGGGACACAGGCGGGGCGTGGGAGCCGGGCTACAGGACCAAGGGCAGGGACCCATGGAAGCACGGGCCTGGGCATTTGGTAAGCGCTCAGGGAAGACACACTGTGTGAACAGATGGATGAATGGACAGATAGTGGGGCAGATGGGTAAGTGACCGGACTTAGAGATAACTGGACAGATATATGGATGAATAGATAAATAAACAGACGCATAAGTACAGACAGACAGATGGACGTGCAGACGGATATACAAACGGATGGGTATATAAACAGAAGGACAAATGGAAGGAAAGATGAATAGATGCTTGGTGATGGCTGGACAGACACATGGACTGCTGAGTGAATGAGTATACAGATAGATGGGAAGCAAGCTGGATGGATGATGGGTGGGTGGACGAATGGATGGACGGACAGATAGGGACCGAAGAGATAAGGAATGCCATCAAACAAAAGTGTGGCAGCTTCCCTCCTGACCTTCCCTCCATTCTCCAACCAAAGCTGGACCCCAGCCAGTGCCCCCATCCTGAGGGATGCAGGCCACAAGAGCATTTGCCAGAGGCTCCAACCCATTCTGGGCCTTCTGGAATTTCAGACCAGCCTGGTGTGGCAGAAGACACTCACTCTCCCATGAGGCCTTTCCGCCTATGCTGCCTTAGTCCCTGACTGGAGTTTGGGACCAGTCGCAAGCGACTGGGAGACAGGAGCTGGAGGAGACCACACACCATGGGTAGGGGGAGGCCTGGAGCTATAGGAAAGGGACTAGAGGCTTTGCAGAGGGATGGAAGGAAGGCAGAGGTTTACATGGGGCTCAAGGGCTGTGTTCTTAGAGTGTTAGGATGAGCCTGAGGTCCTAGGAACTCGGGGGAGGACTAGGGAGGCAATGGGCAGGGACTTGGAGGCTGGGATGGGGGAAGGGTGCTAAAACACACCTGCCACCATCAGGCTCTATGTGCCCAAATCTGACCCTTTCACCTTTCTGATCTCTCCACCCAAACCACTGGCACCTGCCACAACCCCTCCCTCATTCAGGGGCACTGTCTGTCCTTTTGCATATACTTAGAACCTGGCTGTCAGCCCTGACCCCTCCCTTCTGCCCCTCATCCCATCAGTCACTGGGTTCTATCTATTCTACTAACACAGTAGCCAACCCCCTGTCCTCGATACTGTCCTTGCCTGATGTCCAGGGCCCAGGTGAAGCTTTCAACTGGCCTCCCTGCCTCTTGGCCACCCATTCCCGCAGCATAGCTCAGGGGCTTTCAAAAGAGTGCCTGTGTACAGGTGTCCACTGCCCCTATGCCCCTGCCCACTGGATAGATAGATCCCAAATTCCTGAACATAGATCCCAAGGCTGTTGGGGAGCTGAGCCCCGCCCTCCTCTCCAGCCCCATCTCTCTCCCTCCGTCACATAGCCCCTGCAGGCTTCGGTCACACGGAACGACATACCTGCCTTTGCGTTCGTGGCTTTGCCTACTGGAAGGCACTTCAGCCTTCTCTGCCTGGCACCCCTACTTGGCTTTCAGAGCAGAGGTCTAAGGCTAAATGTGCCGTGAAGCCCTCTCAGACCCTCCCCTTCCCAGGCGGATGCTCCCCTCGCCCTCTTTCAGGGAGCCCTCTCTCTGTCTCCCCCTCCTCTAGCCTGGAGCTTGGTGAGGGCAGAACTGTGCCTGATTCCTCTCTGTATCTCGGGGTGTGATGCCATTTCAATGTCTGAATAACGAATGACGGGTCTATGAGGCTGATGGTGGAAGAGGGGTACCGCGATTCTGGGGCAGGGGATACAGGAAGGCACGAGGCAGCTGGCTGGACGGGGCTGACGCACGCCCAGTGTGCCAGTGCTGGGCCTTACCTTCAGGGCTACGGGTGTGTCCTCCAGGCAATAGACCCTGAGGCTGTACTCCAGGGAGGTGCAGAGGGCGGGGGCGAAGATGGCCAGCTGGAGCCGCTTGACTGCCGAGCGGGAGTACGACTCGCCCGTGAAGACGTAGGTGCCCAGCTGGTCCAGCAGGATGTGGCAGGACCTGGCCTCCAGCTGGCAGTAGCAGGGGGTGTTCAGTGTCTCCTCGTCCAGAGTCACCACCTCCTGCAGGGTGAGGCACACAGGTCACAGTCAAGGCCATGGAGAGGTCCACCAAGGCGGGGCCAGCAGCAAAGCGTCTTTCTTTCAGCTTCGGGGGCCTCCTAGAGCAGGTTCAGAAGGCGGACCCGGCCTCCCAGCCTCGGCTCCTCACCTCCCAGTGGCCTTGGTGGGCCTGGGTCTTGAGCTGGAAGATCCAGTCGCCGGTGCTGACTTCCGCACAGTGGGGTACGGTAAGGATGACGGGGCGGCACAGCAGGAGGCCCGTGGGCCCACAGGTCACCGAGGGGCTCAGTACTGTCTGGGTCCCTTCTGAAAGCGGGCTGGGGAGATGGCAGAGGGCAGGGCGGAGGCAGTGAGGGGAGGCCGGAAGGTCAGCAAGGGCTGGGACTGGTGTGGGGCTCCTGCCTCTGCCCTGGCTCCTGGGAAGCTGAAGGCACATCTCCACCCCTCGGGGCTCCCGGAGGTCATGGGTCAAGGAGAGACAAAAGGATGGCATATGCCTTAAGATTGTTCTCAGATTTCTGTTGTTCAGGCAAAATTCTCACACTCATATCTCTGTTCTCGTTTTCAAAGGCTTTGTACTCTTAGGATGTTTTGAACAAGTGTTGCTCAACTGCCCTCTGGAAAGGGGCTAGCAGTCTAGGCTGCCGCCAGCATGCACGGGGTGGGGGGGAGTCCCCACACTTTTGTCAATATGAAGCTTTTATCACATGAAAAAAATCTGTAAATTCCAAAAAAAGCAAAAAACTCCTACTATCTCATGGCTGAATCACAATTTCTCAGACTACAAATTATGCTGAACGTTTTTTCATAATCTACTGGAGTGTGTGTGTGTGTGTCTGTGTGTATGTGTGTGTGTGAGGGTGTGTGCGTCAAAGAGACTATGTGTCAATCACTTCGTATCCTCTGACCCTTCTTGCAGTGAAATGTTCAAAGCCTCTTTACATAGTAAGGATATTAACCTTTTGTCATAATGTAGCTACTCTGTCAATTGCCTTTCAGTTTCATGATTTGTGGTGCTGATTTTTATGATATAAATGTAGAGATAATAAGGTCTGTCAATGTCTTCCTTGGAGGACTACCTCTAGCTTTAGGATCAGGCGCAGAGTGGGGGATGGTGGTATCTGAACCCAGGGTGGACAGGTAGGAGGGAGAGGAAGAGGAAGAGGAGGAGGGCAGCCCAGGCCGGAACTGAGGTCTCTCTACTCACAGGGTGTTCTCTGCCTTGTTGATAAGGAGGTACATCTCATAGAACTTGCCCTGGGGGATGGCTCCATTGGGCACCAGCAGGCTGACTCCTAGGGGGAGAGGGAGGTCAGCAGGGAGGAGCTAGATGGAGTCTAAGAGCTTAGAACAGGGGTGGGGGAGTAGCTCTTTGCTTAGGTCAAGGGGAGAAAGCCATCTCCTGAAATCCAGGTGGTCAACGAAGAGGTGGAGAGAACAGCTCTGGGGATTAGGTACAAGGACAGCCCAGGCCACTGACAGCAGGGGGTTTGTCTGATAACACAGGGGCCCCTGGCATTATGACAGGGTACAAAGATGGCAAAGACTCAAAGTCAGAAGGCCCCAATGACAGCTCCAGCCCCAGACCCATGTGACACTGGGAAACTAACAGCTGATGGCTTTGCAGCCTGAGATGGGCAGCCCTGCCCTTCCAGTATTGCTCTGTAGGTCTGGGGAACTACGAAGAGCTATTCTCTCCCACTTAAAAGATGAGGTTTACAGAGCGGCTACTCCAAGGTTCCCCTGCGTTAGTGGGTCAGAGAAAGGTCTGGATCCCACGTCTTCTCTTTCATAGTCCCTTCTTCCCCCTGGGCCTCATGTTTCCAATCTGAGAAATGGGATCAGGGAAGTCCTATTTTCTATCGGTGGAAGGGGCTGCTGGAGGGATGCCTAGAGGGGACATGCTGAGCCTGGGCTGAAAGGCAAGCAGAGCAGGAGCCCACCTGTGCCAGGGATGCTGAGCCTCCCACCCAGGCAGCCAAAAGTGCCACTGACGCTGCTCCCTGGGTCGCGGGGCAGGCCCAGGAGCTGCTGGGAGCCGAGGCTGGCAGTGCGCAGGTGTAGCAAGTGGGCATCCCGGGTGAAATCGCCAGGGTATGTGCCGGGCGGCAGGACACCCAGCAAGTCGGCCCCATCCGGCAGGCCTGGCCCAGAGCCGGTGGTGCCGGAGTTGTAGACCTTGATCTTGAGATTGGGCAGGGGGTCCAGCAGGGGTGAGTTGGTCATGGGGATCTTGTCGGCTGAGTCCTGCAGGGCATACATGGGCCCTCGGTAGATGCCGGCACTAGCAGTGAGGTCCGGAGGCGCCGACGGGTGCAGGAGCTGTGGATTGTCTGCAGGGGTTGGGGCTATGATCAGACCCAGCGGTGCCTTACTGGCTTGCTCCCATCCTCTACCCCTGCTGGGGGCCCTCCTGTTGCCAAATCCCACCCAAATGTCCAGCTGCCAAAGGCTCAATTGCCATCTGCTGCAGGAAGCTTTGGGGACCCACCACCCAGGCTACTCCCTCCCTTCTCTGGGTCACTCTGATCTACGCTCATCCAGTTATCTGTAGAGCAAAGTCTATAAAAACTCCGGGAGGGAGAAGGAGCCCCTACTGTGGTCTGGCTGGTCTGGCCGGTCTGGTTGGCTGTCGTGCCTCTCTGGGTGCCCCGGCGGGCATCTGCCCCCCCCCCCCCCCGCCCCATCCCAGATATCCCCAGGTGCTCACTGGGCCTTGCGGTCTTGAAGTTGACGGGATGGAAGCCACCAGTGAGGGCGGCGGACGAGTCAGTGATGTCAGTGTCGAAGTCCCGGCGGTTGCGGCGGTATACCACCCCCCCCACCACGATGAGGACACCCACGACAACGAAGGCGGATACCACAAGGCCCGCGTACAGCGCCACGTCCCCCGAGGCTTCCAGCACTGTGGGCACAGGAGGATGGTGTGAGACCCAGGTCCCGGGGCAGAGACCAAGGTCCCAGGACAGATCTGCGCTGTATATGCTAGCTCCTACTCTCAGCCCTGCCACAACTGGCCGGGACCTCAGGCAAGCCTGTGCATCGGTGTCTGCAAGTAAAATGGTCTAAAGATCCCTGCCCTGCTTCCCTTCCCGTGCAGAAACAGGCAAAATGACCCATAGTCCGTCCCAACAGTGAACTCATGGCTCACTGCTGAGAAGAGGATAGGGCTGTGGCTCAGTCTGTCCTGTCCCAGCCAGGAGGTTAACTGAGAGCCCTGCTACAGCCTGCTACAGCCTGCAGCCCACCCTCGGGCGGGAGGTCCCAGCGCGCAGAACTCTGCAAGCAGCCCTCCCTGAGCTCAACTTGCATCCTAAGCCGGGTGGGGCCTGGAGGCAGAGGCAAAGCAGGAGGAAGGAATGAGATGCAAGGCGATGGGGTGGAGAGGCGGTGAGCAGCTGGAGAGGAAGGAAGGGGCTCAGGGAGGCCACTCACAGCCACACTTCCCTCCCCCAGGCGGGCTGCTACACAGCTGCAAATAATTCTATGTAGGCCAGGCAGGAAGGTGTCAGGGTTTAGAGGCAGGGTCTGCACAGCAGTGCCATCCGACCGCGCTTTCCACAACCGTGAGCGTTCTCTGTGTTGTCCCAGACGACAGCCACTAGCCACATGTGGCTAATGAATGACTAAAATGTGGCCGGTATCCCTGAGGAACAAAGTCTTAAGCAATGTATTTAATTTTAACTAAGTTCACAGGAAGTTGAAAGAGCCACACGTGGCCAGTGGCTACCATGCAGGACAGCACACAGGCAGAGCCAAAATGCCTGCTCTTCCCTTCCAAGAAGTACATGTCCCATCTCCCCTCCTGTGGGGGGGGGGGGAAGCTCAGAAAAGTAGGCCCGCTTTCCCTGCCAGCTTTCCCTTCCAAGCCCCACTTCCCCAGTGCAGACAGAGCTTTCGAGAGGTAGGGGTGGTTCAGTCCCAGTGTCCTTCCATTTCTGCCACCTTCTGGCCCCACCTCTCCTCAGTGGCCCTCACTTTTGGGTTCCCCAGAGGATCCTGGCGCCCTGGGAGAGTAGCTGGAGGAGGCCCTCAGAGCTTGGTTCTGCCTCCTGATGTTCTCCATGACCACTGTGAGCCAGGCCCAGGGCCTCACTATTGATTTTATGATTCTGGAATTATTTGGGAATGATGGTTTAATTGTCACAGGCCAATCCACCTGAGCTGCTTTACTGCTCTGGGGCTGCCATAGCACAGCCGGGGGAGGAAGCCAATTAGCCCCTTGGTGATGACGGCAGGTAGCAGGTTTCCTGGAGAACCTAGTCCTGCTGCTGGGGGTACAGTATGGGGCTCCGGGTGGACAGTGTGGGCCTGGGTGCTGGCTCTGTCACAGAAAGGAAGCTGAGGGCACAAGGCTAAAAGCACCAGCATTGGCCACATAACTAGTTAGGTTCAAATCCCACCTGGATCCCCAGGTAAGCCCCTTCCTCACTGAGACCCAACTCCCATCACAGGAGGGTTGGGGCAGTGTCCTTTCTGTCAGCTGTGGGTCCCCCTGTGTCTGCATGTGACAGAGGCCATGACATGTGCAGCACCAGGGTGGGGGACCCCATGGAGGGTGGGTGAGGGGGCACCTTCCAGTCTCCCTGTCTCCCACACTGCCCTGCACCCCACACCCTGGAAAAGCCAGCTAAGGAGAGCCAGGGATCCCCCAGAACAAAGAGGACAGCCATGAAATGGGACTTACGGTGGCTTTTGGGGTCACTTAGCGTTTTCTTATCTGTCGAGGGAAATAAAGGGAAAGACAATGACGTAGGTGGCGGAGAAAGGATGGCGGAGGTGACAGGAAACGTGCAGATGAGATGATGCACGTGGGCGGATGGGCAGAGGCCCCAGGGGCTGCTCCACTGCAGCCGGCACCTGAGACCTGGGGCGGCCTAGGGGGACCCCCCCCATCCGGCTCAAGCCCACACCCAGGGGCCCTGGCGTCCCGAGGACTCACTCTGCACACAGAGCCCATCTGTGCAGTTCTTGGAGTCGAGCAGGGTCCCGCTGCAGTCTCGGCCTCCGTTCTGGGGCGGGGGCGCCATGCACTCGCGACTGCGCCAGTGGGCACACTCGGTGCTGCAGGCTGACCACTTGCTCCACTCCGTCCACGCTCCGTCCACTGCGGGAGCGTGGGGCACGGCACGCGCGGTTACGGATGCAGAATGCAGCAACGCACCCGCACCCACGCATGCGCACTATGGCAGGACAGGTCCCCGGACATGCAAGCCGAACGGCAACACCCACCCCCAGACACGGGGCCGGGGCACCGATGAGGGGGGTGGCAGACAGAACACGAACACACACATGAACACACACACACACTCTCTCTCTCCTCTCTCTCTCTCTCTCTCTCTTTCTCTCTCAGACACAGCCCGGGGCCCTCACGGGGACTCAAGCCCAAGGCAAACACACAGAAACCCAAGAGCCCGGACAAAACCAGGCATGCAGGGGACCCACAGACGGGGACGCACAGGGTGACGTGAAGAGCAGAGGAGAAGAGAGGGACTTTGCAGGATTAGGGGTGGCGGTCAAGACGTGTCTAGGTCAAGGGCAGGGGCACAGGCTCCTCCCACCCCAGGCAGCCTCGGACCCGGCCCTGGGGCTGACACCGAGAACCCTCAGCCTGGACGGCAGGAGAGCCCACCCCTCAGACGGCCGCTCAGAGCTTCTGTGTCTGTCTCTTTAGCAGCCTGCACAGAATGAGAGGGCAGAGGCCCCAGGACAAGCATCTTCCACCCCCACAATGAGAGAGAGCGGCCAGCCCCAGTGCGACAGCCCCGTGGGCACAGAAAGGAGGGCTGGGAACCAGGGTGGGGCCGTGGAGGGGGAGGTGGGATGCCGGCCGGCCCCTGGCCTTACCTGGGCACACGGTGGTGCAGGCGGTCTTTTGGAAGGCCTGACCCTCACAGAAGGCGCCTCCATTGAGCGGTGCCGGGTTGGTGCAGGTCCGAGTGCGCTTCTGCCAGCCACGGCCACAGCGGTTGGAGCAGGGTGACCATTCTGCCCAGCTGGACCAGCCGCCGTTCACTGCAAGGGCAGCGGTGTCACCTGCTTGGCCCTGCTCTGCCACCTGTGGGCCCCCTAACCCCATCTCCAGCCCCGATGAGGCTCTTCTGCTGAGGCCTGGCCTTTCCTAAGTGGACCCCTCCTGCTGTAGCACGGGGGACAGATCTGGGCTGCAGCCGTCAGCCCCAGAGGGGACCAGGGAGGTCAAGCTCTATCCCCAACCTCATTGTACAATGGCAAATGAAGGTCCAGAGAGGGCTGATGCTTCCCCAAGGCTACCCGGTAATAAAACCAGATGTAGGGTTCTTTCTAGCACACTCAAAGCATCTCAGCTATGGCTCTGCCCCCCCTATGCCCAAGGGAACAGCAAGGAATAGCCTACAGGCCAAGGTGGTGGTTTCTCATTCTGCTGGGACACCAGGCTGAGGAATGAGGATACTGACTGGGCCCTGTTCCAAGCCCAAGCCCAGAGTGCCTGACTTGACTGCTAGCTTTGCTGTGTGATCCTGGTAAAGGCACCTCCCCTTGCTGGGCCTCAGCCTCCCAGCTGTCCGTCGGCACCCTGCTGGCCTCTTCGATAGGCCTTGGTGAGGCGGGCAGATGGCCCAGGCTCTCCGGCTCCCCTGGCTAGGCTGCCCCCGCGTGGGCCCATACCATAGACAGTGATGGCGGCAGTGGTGCTTCGGCGTTTGGCTACGATGTTCTTGGCCACACAGGTGTAGTTGGCTGTGTCTGACAGGCGGGCCTGGCGGATGATGAGGTTGTGGTCGATGGTGAGCAGAAAGTTGGTGTCCTGGGTGGGGTCAATGATGTCCTCATTCTTCAGCCACTCCACCTGGAGGAGGGGAGTTGGAAGGGGGGCGTGAGGGCCAGTGCCTACTCACCTGCATCCCCGGGAGGGGGCCCTCTGTGAAGGGGATAGGACACCCGGCCATAACCAGGACAGAAGTTCTATCCATGTCCGCCCACGGCGGTGACGTGGTGAGGCAGGCCCTCCACAGGACAGGCACTGTGCTGAGCAGTACAGAACCCAGGGGTTGTGACAACCACCCACTAGCTGGACAGCCTCAATTTCATCAGTCAGAGGGCAGCATTTATTAGCATCTACCCGACAGGGCTGTCGCAAGGATTAAACACATTAGTGTGGAGAGTGGGAGAACTTAGCTCCCCGTAAGTACAAAATAAGCATTAGCTAGCAGCGCGTGCCTTCTGCCTTTAAGGCAAAGGCCCCATGGAGTGTATCCATGCTCAGACCCATGCATTATGAGACCCTTCGGTGTCCATAAAGCGGGGCTTTGGCTTTTGGGTGGGGAAGGAGGATTCAGCCACAGGCACTTCCCTTGCAAGAGACTGAGCCTGGGATCAACTCAAGTAGCCCTTGGGGATCTGGCCCCAGCTCTGCCCCGGCTTCAGGGTTATGCCTAGGCAGGGTCTGGTGCAGGCCAAATTCTTCAGAGGTGGTAGTTACCTTCTGTCTCAAGCCTTGACATTCCCATCTATGAAATGGAGAGAGCTCTGGGAGGCACCATGGCTGGTAGTGAATACCACGTCTGGCTGGTCCCTGGCATGCCTGGTATTCCTCTTGTCCCCACTCACCTCAGCCACAGGCACCCCCTCCGGTGGGCGGCACTGCAGGAGAACCTCCTGGTCCAGGGGCACTTCCTTGCCCAGAGGCTCCTGATCGAAGTTCTTGCGCAGATCTGGGAGAAGCAAGAGGAGCTGGTCACCAGGCACAGTGAGGGGGAACTGAAGCCTGAGGTGCCCAACTCTAGCCACTAGGTGGCAGTGCACACCAAGGGAAGGGGCTTGACCTGGGGCATAGCCTCTTCGCCAAATTGGGGGCCCTCCCAGGTGGAGTTGGTGGAATAGGTTTCCCTCCCTGACTCTGGGATGGTAAGCATGTAACAACGTGGAGGCAGCTCCTTTATACAGAAGTAGGCGATAGGGGCCATTAGAAATTCCAAGGCCAGAGGTGGCCCCGTTTCTGGGTCTAAGAGGCTTCTGCTCAGCGGGCACCCACGGGCCCTGAGGTCTCTGCAGTGGGCATCTTCAGCCAGAGATGCCCCCACAGAGGAGGAACTTCCTCTCCAGGAGGCACAGGGAAGGGGCCCCGGGGGACTGGGGTGGGGGTGTCAGACGGCGTACATGCGATGCGGACATAGGCCCGGCGACTCTTGGTGGTGCCGGCGGAGCTCCAGGCCACACACTGGCACCAATAATCCTCCAACCCGAACAGCTCCTCCACCTGCTGCCGTGACACCTCGATCTGGACCTCCCGCACCCGCAGGCCTGAGAGGGGGAGACAGATGTCAGCAGGGGGGTGGTCTGAGCATGGGAAGCAGGGACATGGCACCGGGACATCTGTTTCTCTTCTGCCAAGTGCCTCCCGTTTCCATCTATTTCCCTGGCCAGAGCCACCAATGCCACTCCCCTGGAGACTGCCCCGGCTAATGCAAACCCTCTGTCCCGTGCCAGCCACGTCCTGCCCTAAAGCCAGGGTGTGCTCTGCAAAATGCACAAAGCCAGGTCACTCCCCTGGTTGTGCCTCCAGTCCTCACAACACAAAGACCTTGATCCCCCACGTGGCTGTGAGGCCCTACACTGTCTGTCTGCTACAGCCTCACTGGGCATCTTCCTTCCACCAGCCACAGGGCCTTTGCACACCCAGTTCCCTGGCTGGAACTCTCTTCTGGCCCCCATGTGCCTAATGGACCCCCAATCACCATCACCTGGGCCTCACTTCCGGAGGGAAAGCCCCTCTGACCCCCCCCCCCCCCCCCCCCCGCTGTCAAAGTGCCACACAGAGCATGACTGGGCTGTGCAGGTCTCTTTCCCTGCCCAGCCTGGTTTTCCAACAGCACTGACCACTCTCTGGAACTGTATCATCTACTGAATGTGGTCCTGTGTTAATTATTATTTCCTGCAGGGGAATAAAGCAGGGCTTTGCTCTGTTTACTGCTGGGGCCACAACATGGCACAGAAAAGGTTTTCCACAAATATGTGAAGACAGCATGTGGCCTCTCTCTGTTAAGAGCTGGAGATGGTGGGAGACCCCTCTTCCTGGGAGCCCTCCGATCTCTCAACAGCTCCCTACTAGGGCCTGGAGGCCTCTCTGGATACTGGATCCAGCAGCCTACCCAGACAGGATCCATCACTCTCCTACCAACTGTTGACAAAGCCCCTTATACTCAGAAAAGGAGTGAATCCTTCTGGATTAGGATGCTCATCCAAAGCTCTTCCCCCAAAGCCTGTGGGAGGACTGCAAAGCCTCCTCCTCCAGAAAGCCCTTCCTGACTACCCCTGTTTCAGAATCCCCAAAGCTGCTGCTCTTCCCTGCCACATGTCCCAGTTCTTCCTCTCATGCTTACACATGGGTTCCGATGAGCCCCTTGAGGGTAGGATTGTCTACTGTACTCTCTGTGGTACTGTGGCATGGTGGTCAAATGTGGGTTTGGGTGGCTGGGCAGGTCTGAATCCTGGCCTCAACTTCAATCTTCTGTCTCCCCCTGTACATAATGCACCCCCAGTCACCATCAGCTTTGGGCCAGGCCTCATTTCTGGAGGGAAGGCCCCTCTGACCCTGGCCCACCCACCACCTGCTATGAAAGTACCCTACAGAGCATGACTGGGCTGTTCAGTTCTTTTTCCCTGCCCAGCCTGGTTTTCCCACAGCGCTGGAAGGGGGCACTCATGGGCCTGGTAGCAGGGGGAGTAGGGGCCGTGCTGTTACAATCACTCCTAATTGCAGGGTTGGTGAGATACGGGGTACACCAGCGGGGTACACCATCCTTCTGCTTGGTTTGGACCCCAACCGCTGACCTCTGATCTGGGCCAGAGGGCCTCAGGGGGACATAGAAATAAGGGCAAGTTTCAAGAGGAAAGAGGCCAAGAAAAAGCCAGAAAGAATATGGAAGAAATGGGGTCTACTGAGTGCCTGCTGGGTCCTGGCACTACGCTCAACACTGAGCAGGCCCCACCGTGTTCCACCCCCATGGGGACCTTCGTTAATGTCCCAGTTTACAAGGACAGGAAGTGGGGCTCATAGAGTGTGAGGAACTTCCCAGAGTCACGCAGCCACGGGGGTGGCTGGGGTACATTTCTTTTTTCTTTCTTTTAAAAATTCCTTTTTTGGGAAGCCTGGGTGGCTCAGTCAGTTAAGCCACTGCCTTCAGCTCAGGTCATGATCCCAGAGTCCTGGGATCAAGTCCCCCACTGGGCTCCCTGCTTAGCAGGGAGCCTACTTCTCTCTCCGCCTCTGCCTGCCACTCTGCCTGCTTGTGCTCTCTTTCTCTCTCTCTCTCTGATAAATAAATAAATAAAATCTTTTTTAAAAAAATAAAAATTCCTTATTTTATTTTATTTTTTAGATTTTGGGGGAGCAGGAGACTCCAGATCTGTTTTCTAAAATTCTCTCAAAATGTTGGTAAAATATAGATAACCTAAAACTTACCATTTTAATACACACAGTTGAGTGGCATTAAAGTACATTCTGGGGTGTATTTTTAAGCCTGGGTGGTTCTGAAATCGGCGAGCTTTTCCCAGAAAAATAGAAGTTGGAAGGAGGGAGAAAGGAGAGAGTGAGAGAGAGCATGTTGTTGGGGGAGACAGACCGAGAAACATGGGGAAGGAAGATGGACACAGGAGTGAAAAGGGAGAGGTGGGAAAGAAAGAAGGAAACAGGAGAGGGCTGAATAAGGGGGGAGAGAAGGATGAGGGAAGAAGTGGTGGCAGCAAGACCAAAGCAGAGGCAGGCTGTGAAGCGAGAGGCCCCCCAGAACCTGGGCCTGGCTGGGGCTGCCTGGCACTGGCCACCTGTAGGTCACCAGCAGCGGTGGTCCCCTGGAGCCCTGGAAAGGACCCCCTCTGAGGGGCCTGGGGACACGGAAGCCCCCATCTGGCTTCGGGGGCACCTCTGGGGGTGCCCAGGACCCTGCGTACATCTTCCTGTTGGGATCTGGGCTCTGTCCCAGCACCACCTCCATGGTGTTCTACTTAGTAAAACCAACCTCGTCTTCAAAGCAAACACAGCTGGAGGAGGAGACGCAGCATCTTACCAACGGGCACAGAATCACTTCCCACAAACCCAGAGGCCCTTTGACACTAAGGATGGTCCCGGAATCTGGGTATGTCTGGGGGGCCGGGGCTGCGGACGGGGCAGCTCCTCCTCATTATGTAGGGTGCACAGCAGGTGCGGGAGTGTGCAAGCGTGAGAGTGTGTGCGTGAAGAACGTTCGCCCCGTCGCCCCCAACTGCTTCCTGATGTAAGATGGAGACAGAGAGAAAAGGACTCCGTAGCGCAAAGTCAGACAGGGACATGTGGCCAATGCTTGGGGAGATACGGATCCAGGATGAATCCCAGATGGGGAAACAGAGGCCCCAGGGGAGCCATGGCCATGTGAAGTCTCACACAGAGCCCAGATTAGAGCCAGGCCCAGGACCCAGCGTCCCTGGCACCCCTGGGCCCTGGTGGTGACTGGACAAGTGGGGCAGGCTCACCCGTGGCCTCATCCAGGCCCTCCTGTGTGACATGGTCATTCTGGCTGACCCACTCGCCGTTGCACTTGAAGTAGATCTGCGTGGCGGGGAAGGCACGGCAGCGCAGCTCCACAGGCTTGTTCTTTACGATGTAGGCGTCCTGGGGTTCCTGGAGGAAGTGGGGCAGGGGCTCAGCCGGTGCCGACGGGAAGGAGTCGGGGAGCACCTCGCTGCCAGAATCCGTGCCTGTGGAGGGAGGGCGGGCTTCATGAGGCTGAGGCTGGTGGGGGGGGGGTGCGGTGAGCAGCTGGAGACCAGCCGGGATGCCCTCTGTGACCCGGGCAAGGTCTGGCTGTCCTGGGGCCTCAGTTTCCCCATCCCCCAGCTCTTACCAGGTCGTGCTTTGGAACCAGTCCTAGCTCTCTGACCCTAGGTGGTTCTCCTTCTTTCCAGACAGAGATGTCAGGGTGGCCCGGAGAGCTGAATGGATGGTCCCGGCCAGGACACCCCTCGAGCCCTCCCCAGTGTCTGCTGAACTGGACCTACTAAGCCTCCCTCTGGTTTCCCATGGTGATGCCACAGGACGTGAAGGGCTGGCACGGATCACAAAGCAGCCAGTTTTGCCCTAAAGCCACAGCTGCCCTTGGCAGCCCCAGCCTGCCAGGCTGGTGGAGGTGGGGAGACAACCCAGGACCCACAGAGGCATGAGGTGGGGTCAGGTGGGGAGGCTGCACCAGCTCTGGTTCCTTGGTGCTTGGCCCCCCCACAGGGCCTCCTCCTCTGAATGCCTAAGGCAGGCAGCAGCATGGCACGGGAGACCACCTCCCCAGCAGCGTTTACACAGAGCCTCCCCTCCTCGGGGCGGTCTCTGCCTCACTCCTCAGCCCTTCCCACCTCAGCCAAATGCACACCCTCCACCCTAAGAGCAGACAAGAAAACTGCACAGCCTGGGAACACAGATAGGCTGTTCCCGCTACAACTCCTCCCCAACAAGGGGTCAAATGGGAACCCCGGCCCGCCGGCCTCTCTGGAAAGAACAGTGCCTCACGAGGTGAGACAAACAGGAAGGGAGAGGGTCCGGCCACGACCAGCGCTGGGAGAGAGGGAAACCAGGCCACGCCAGCCCATTGGTTCACTATCCACTTTGGGAAAATTGACTTTATGACACCAAGTGCCAAACAATCAGATGGCTGGGGCGAGCGATGGGGGGGCTACGCTCCAGAGGGAACAATGAATTAAACTGCAGGGTGTGCATCCGCCCAGACCCTCACTGCCAGCCACGGCCTGTCACTGTCCCAGCACCCCAGTCCCTCCAGTGGGGTGGGGTCCCAGGAAGCACCTGCCCCCAGCCCAGGAGGCCACGATGGGACATGCATTGCCCTAGGGAGCCCCCTATGTCCAAAGGGGCCAAGGGGACACTCTGTTCTCCGCTCTCCAAGAGCAGAATGAACAAAACAAGCCATCTCTTTGTGGCCCAGGAGCTCCTGCTAAGACTTGGGGTGAGGGTGGGGGGTTCAGGCGCTCTGAGAATGTGCACAGGTTGTCACTGGCTCCAGACAGTCAGTCCCAGGGGAAGTGTGTGTGTGTGTGTGGCCCGCGGGAGCAAAGGGGAAGTCAGCAGGAAAGTGTGAATCCTGCTCCATCTAGCATGTTCCGTGGGGCCCCAGGATAGCCCTTTAACTCCCAGCACGGTACTTCGTCTCTAAAGCCGGCAGGGAGGTCAACGCCCTTCCCTGGGCTGTTCTGAGGACCATAAGAGCTAGACAAGCGTGAGCACCCAGGAGGGGGCAAGCGCATAGTAGGTGCACATCGTCACATGGAAATGGCAACTAGCGCTCGCCTGGCATTAGGGGCTGTGTTTTTAGTACTTTACACAGTCAGCTTACCTCACTCTTGCAACAACTCTATAGGGTATTTATGGGAGTCTTTGGTTTCTATGTGGGGAAACTGAGGCTGGGAGAGGTGAAGCAGCTTGCTCTAGGGCACAGAGCTAGCAGGAGGCAGAGCAAAGTTCTGAACCCGATAAACAGACCCCTGGCATCTGGGATACTGCCCAGGACTCCACACGGCCTGCTGCTGGCGTGGCTCGGGGACAGGGTGAGCATCCCCGCGTCTGAGAATCCGGATGGATCCTGTCCTGACACCAGCCGGGACCCCACAGCTCGAAGAGCTCTCTCATTAAAGCTCTCTCATTAAAGGCTCAGCGAGGCTGCAACTGTCCTTATTTCGGAACTGAAGACCGTCCGTGTGGGGGAACGACGGACCGAAGCTCCCTGGCTGGTGGGCAACTGGGAAGGGCACGGAGGATCCCAGGGCTTGTCCATGCCCACCTCCCTCTGCCGGGCAGGGAGACCCCTTCCGTGTAGGTAGAAGACTGGCAGCCCCTGGGGTCTGGGAGCTGGCGCAGTTGACGGCAAGGTGAAACCCCGCCCAGGGAGCGGGACAGCATCTCCCAGGGGCCGGAGAGCAAGTGGAGCCAGGAGGGCGTGTGGGCAGCAGAGCACCGGCAAGACTCCATGCCCCGCTCCCCCACCCCTGCCGCAAGCGCCTTGCTTCAGTCTCAGACCTGAGGGGGGTGAGGCAGGGCACAGACTTCAGATGGAGCCACCTCTAGGTCTGAAGTCACCCTTCCTGACCTCGGGCACCGCCATCTGTGAAATGGGGGGACCAGGCCTCCCTATGGGGGGGTGGAGGTCACCATAGAAGGTACAGGGGAGCCCGTGGGTCCAGTCACTTGCTAGCTCCCTCTTCTAACCATACGGCCCCCAGCCCCCCAGGCCCCCAGGTGATGGCTGCTCTGACTCTCTGCGGCACTACAGTCGGTATTTACGACTTGGTTTTATAACCCTAATGCGGCTCATTTATAAAGCAGGCGCAGATGCGGCGGAGGAAACTGAACAGGAGACACATCCATTAGGGAAGCAGGGCCCTAGTCTGGCAGCCCCCGCCCCCCGATCCCCACTCCAGCCCTCCTCTCCACCCTGGCACAAAGCTTCCTCTCTGGCCTTGGCGGGATGCAGCCAGGGATCCTCATCGATGCCTCCCCAAGCCCGGCAGGGCAGCGGGGGACCTTGATGTAGCTGGTGTCCTCTTACAACGTCTCCAACCCCCTGGGGTCCTGAATTCGGATGCAGCCGGGAGACAAGAAGGACCAGGTCTGACCAGAGAACTCCTCCCGAGGCAGACCACCGGCAGACTCTATGCTTGCCCGGCATGTAGTAGGTGGTCAGTGAATCCAAGTTCAATAAAAGTGGGGCTGGGGGGTGGGGAGTGCTGCCAGGGTCTGGGGAACAGCTAAGCTAGGTCCCCAGCCTCATCAGTGGGCACTTCCCCTCCTTGGCTTGGCCCCTGGCTTGGGCCGTCATAGTTGAGGGAGGCTCCACAGGCGTCCCGGCCGAGGGCCAGCCTAGAGGGAGAAGACTGATGGAGTTTCAGGGTCCCCAGGGGACTCCTCTGCCCGCAGCTTTCCTCTGAACTCACAGTCCCGCAACAACCCCCACACAGCCTCCTACACTTCCTTGGTCTTTAGTATCTTGGTAACTTTTACCCCAAGGCCAAAAGAAATTCCTAGAGGTTCTTTTTATTAAATAGTTAGATCTAAACAGCTTGTGTGTGTGTGTGTGTGTGTCCCAACAATTTGTGTGTGTGTGTCCCAACAACTTGGCAGCCTTTTGAAAAAACAAGACCCATAATTTGAAAGAAAAAGTAAGATCTGTAGTCCATTCCTAAAGAGCCACAGTGATGAGTCGTGTGGGGTGTGCATGCCGTTTGGGTACTGCTTCTCAGTCTTGGAATCAGACTGGCCCCACCACCCTCACTGTCTGTCTCAGAGTCCTTCCGAATGCCCAAACCCCACCTCTGCAAAGACAGGATGCTGCGAAAAGGACAGAAGTAGGATACGATGTTGACATTGACAGCTGTCTTGAGCCAACAGTTGTGGCAATGTCTGGTAGCTGTTCAGCACGGCTGTCTTTCCTTCAAGATGAATGAGATTTCCCATAGCACCCCTGGGAATGTGCGCAGCACCCTGGGGTGTTTTGGCACAGCTTTTGGGAACCACAGCCCTATGCGTTAGGTACTATTATTATGCCTTTACTACAGACAAGGAAACAGGGGCCGAGAGAGATGAAGTCACTGGCACAGGGCTATGCAGTCAGTGGGCCGCATGAGCGAGGGAGATAACCCGGGCATTCAGGTACCTGAATCTGACTTCTGGGTTAGAACTGGGATTTACTTCTACTACGTGGCAGGAACTTTAAATATTTTGCCCAGTTTACTTTCCACAGCCCCCAAGCAGAAGATCATCTTCCCATTTTCCAGATGAAGACACGGGGCACCCAGGGACTTGCCTTATGGCAAGGTCACCTGGTCATTGGGAGAAAGGGCCCTCTCTTCCCATCACCTGTTGCCCTGGCTTTGCTACGGCTCTTTCCAGAGGAGACTCAGACCTGAGAAGAGCCCCCAGTGGAGGGTAGCCTGCTTGTGCCAGGCCAGATCCAGATCTGGAGTTCCTGCTGGCAGGAAGATGTCCCACCAAGTGTGTCTGTCTTTCCTTCCTTTCCTTCCTTCCTTCCTTCCTTCCTTCCTTCCTTCCTTCCTTCCTTCCTTCCTTCCTTTCTCTCTGAGAGAGAGAGAGAGACAGTGAGAGAGGGAACACAAGCAGGGAAGTGGGAGAGGGAGAAGCAGGCTTCCCACTGACCAGGGAGCCTGATGCGGGGCTTGATCCCAGGACTCTGGGATCATGACCTGAGCCAAAGGCAGACACTTAATGACACAGCCACCCAGGCGCCCCCTACTGGGTCCATTTTTAATTGCTGAAGAGAATTTCCTTTGGGCGTGGTCAACTTTTTTGCCACTGTCACTCCTCGCTTAAAGGCCCCCTGCACAGACTGTGGTCCTATGGCACAGTGTTGGGGAGCCCAGGGAGGAAAGGGGAGGCACTATTTGCTGCTGGGCTCTCCCAATCAGGCCCAGGCCCTCCCACCCCAGGCCTCAGCTCACGAGGACCACCCGCGCCTCCAGGTGGGACCACTTGTGGGGGCCATTCAAACCCCCACTTCCAATTTACCTACAGCTGCCTGAGGGCTCTTGTCACGTGTGTCTTGTGTGTCACATAGATATAGAGTCACAGGGAGAGAGGTTACTGTTAGGGCCGTCTTGTACAACATCCCCCATCCATTCCATCCAACCTTGACTCGCATCCCTCCATGGACAGGGAACTCACCACCGCTGCTCGTCTCAGCCAA